ACGTACAGAATGATTTGCTGCAACTTGTCTGAAGTTCCAGGGGCAGCCCTGCAGTTCTCTGTGCTGTGTGCGCAGTGGCTAAATACAAGATGACTTTCACAGCAAAAAGCCACATGCAGATTTCCAGATCACACATAACTTGCTGCACATGGCCAGAAATCAACTGATCAAATGAAATTAACCAGAAATAAAAATGAAACATGTTTTTGGTTGATTTGTCTCCAAAGACTCTGATCTTGATCCTCATACAATCATTTATATTTTTTAAATTGATTTTTCCTGCTTATTTTGCTCAACTAAAGAAACCAAAAATCTGAATTTAGCAGTATAACTGGAGCCGATCGTGTCTTTGTCTTCTCATAGCAAAGTTCTTGAATATACGATTTAAAATGGATTCTTTGCTACGTTGCGCTTTCCGTAGACGAGTTCATCCTTTTAGGAGACAGTCATGGAAACGATGCTTCTCATCAGAGTTGCAGAAAATTGCCCTTTTACTCAATATCTGTCGGCAGTACTCAAAATATATGCTTCATTGATCATGGAGGGTGATTTCTTTACACATGTAAAATAACAAGGCACAAAATATATTGAGAAGATTGGAGTAAATGAAGAGAACGTACAAAGAAAAAAGCTCCAGAACGCTCCAGAAAAAAGCTTTCTGGAGTGTCTGCTTTGCTCAGCAGTTTCAGTGACGATGTTTAAATGTTTCTTGAACCGCAGATAAGATAAGAGGAGGGAACCGCAGATCCCTCCTCTTATCTGATATCTTACTTTCTTTTACATAATTCAGACACGTGTCAAAAAATCTCCAGACAGTCATCCCTATCAGGGATGTTAGGCAAACCTCCAACAATGTTAACAGATGTTGCAGTAACAATATGACTTGCAATAAATAAGCAACTAAACATTGTCTAGGTTTTATTGTAAAAGCTACTTCCAGACGACATCCGCTGTTTTTGTTACTCAAACAAGTTAGTTTTAGTTTCATAATGATTTTTTCCTCTTAAACCTGCTTATTGAACTGCTTTAAACTGCTTATTACAGTTTAGGCAGTTCTTCATAATATGCATATTGTGTATAGTGATATTGCAATGATGGATAAATTTGCAATAAATTGCGCATCCCATGTCTTAAGTCATTCATAGGTCAGAGAATTTCTCTAAGACTGCTTGAGCATTAATGTACGAATGAGTGAAGAAGCAGCCAAAGTCCAAAGAAAGTCTTTGTTTGGTTTCCAGAAATATTAATGCAATTTCTGACATGTACTTTAATTTAAAAGGAAAATCTATTAATTGTCTTCCAGCTATAGAGTCTTGCATTTGGTTCTAACTTTAGTTGCTGTTGTGTGTGTTTTTTTTTTTCTTACAGGATTGTACAGCAGTTTCTAGCTGGACTCTTTGCCAACTCTGGAGTTCCCGGCTCACCTCCTCTGTCATGGTAAAATCTAAGCGGCTTCGCCGGAGCCTCAGCGTTGCTTTTCTGAAACTGTTCATCTCCAGCTTGGCTGCTCCTCTTACAGGACGGGGATGCTGCACTCTAACCCAGGCGATTACGCCTGGGGGCAGGGAGGGTTAGACGCTGTCATAACGCAGGTGAACTCATTTTCTTTCCACACTTTCACCTGTTTTTACCCTCGAGTTTACCTGTGTGTGTGTGTGTGTGGTTAGTTACTAGGTCAACTGGAGAACACAGGCCCTCCTCCAGCGGAGAAAGAGAAGATTTCTTCCCTCCCGACTGTCAGTATAACTCAGGAACAAGCAGGTCTGTCATATTTCCCACCTTTTAGTTTCTGACTTTGTCCTTAAAGTTGACCATAGCTGTGTTTGAGTTGTCAGTTTTATCCCTGTCCATGGACAGCGGCTGCTTTATTAGGGCTGTTTACATTTGTTTTTTTTATATTTTTTTGGTCATGGCTGCTAAGTTTTTAAACTAGTGATTAAATCTAGAGACTCTATATGTTTTAGTGCTGTTCACATACACCGAATCACTTTAATGCATTACTATGACTTTTTTTTCTTTTATTGAGAAAATATATATTTAATTAGTATTTGTTTATATGCATCTTTTAGAATCAGAATGAAATGACTCTGGTCAGCTTTCTACAGTCTTATATTTTTTTTGGGGAAAAAAATCATTTATTCTTAGGAGTGCTTTACGTTTGGACAGGTATTTCAAATGAAAGTGAAGTAAACTGCAGCCAAACTGCATCTTAAATTGAGGACTTCAGCTGATTTTTGACATTTAACATGGGCAAATTTTTTATTTTAAGATTTTTTTGGCTCTAGAGGCCTTTATTTGATAGTTAATTGATAGGAAAGTGGGTAATGAGAGAAGGAGGAAGATGTGCAGCAAAGGTCGCCAAGGCCGGGAATCGAACCTGCGACAGCTTTGTCGAGAACTAAGGCCCCCATATGTGGGTTGTGCTTAATCCTTGTGCCACCACAGCACACCCACACGGGCAAATTCAATATTTATTGTATTTAAAGTCTCACAACAGTACAAATATATTCCATGGCTGAAAATCAGTGTATATTATTGTATTTAAATTTCAAAATGGGTCAACAATAGATTGAAAAATCCAGCTAATTGTGGGATTAACTGGAAAAGAAAGACTAAGTTAAACAGAAAGACTATGGCTAATAAAAACATCCAAAACTCTGTTTAGGGTAAAATTTTCATTAACCTAAAAGAGATTAACAGTTTATCCCATTAACTAATTGCAGGGTACTCTTTGTAACTTTGTCTTTTTAGAGTTTAACTTGCACTAACTCCCTATCTTTGAATTGTAAATAAAGAATATGAAGCTCATAAATAAACAAAAAAAGAAAAGTGTTTTTTTTATTATTCTGTCAGTGAAAACTGAAGCATGTTTTCCTCTTCTCTCCTGCAGATTGCTGTATGGAATGCCCAGTGTGCAAAGAGGACTTTGCAGTGGGAGAACCAGTCAGACAGCTACCCTGTAACCACTTCTTTCACTCAGACTGTATAGTACCATGGCTGGAAATGGTGAGTCACCATACAGAACAGCAAGCATATGATTCATTTGCTGTTCTTGGGGTAAAAAAAAAATCCAGATGTAAAACCACATTCAAACTAGCTTTCCAGGATAGAGCAAAAAAAATACATATATATAATCACAACCAATTTCCATGTGCAAGATCAGTATGAGAAAGGAATGATTAGGTTTGCAATTGTACAGTACTTTTAAAGACCATTCTTAACCCTTTAAGCTTTTCATATTTTGCCAATTTCATTGGGATTTTATGCACTGGAAAGAAACAAGTGAGCACATAATAATCAGATATTAGTGCATTTATAAGTTCTAAGTTTCCACAAACTGGAAATCAATTTGCGGGAAACTGATTTTACAGTGGAGGAAAACTGTGGAGGAAGGCGTTCTGGTCGAATGAGAGAGAAAACTTAAGCTGAACACATCACCCCCACGAGGAAATATAGTCGTGGAATGGCCCAGTCAAAGTCCAGATCTGAATACTGCTGAGAATCTGGGTTTCAGCAGATTCTCAGCAGATAAAATGCTGTTCAGAGACGTTCTCCATCCAGTCTCGCTGAGCTAGAGCTAATTTGCGAAAAGATTAAAACATCCCTCTAGGTATGCAATGTGTGACAGAAAGTGGTTCCTATAAAATGTTCACTCCAGAGACAATGAATGAATTCATACTTATGGGATTTTTAGCATTGTCCTCCTGCTTTACATATACGTGTTAAAACCCATTAAAGTTGGAGGTTTAACATGACAAAATCAGAAAAAGTTAAAGTGGCTGGCTTGATATTTCTAATTGAAAGACAGTCATGTACTAATCTCCATTGACATCCACTGAAATTAGTTTGATTTGATTAAAGCTCAGTTTGTAAGTTGAATTAATGTGTAGGTGGGAACATGCTGCACTGGTTTAGCTTGACAGTAGTAACACCAAATTTTGGCCAAACTGCAGCGATCTGATGTCTGCCTGCTTTTCCCGTGGTTCTGCAGCACGACACGTGTCCAGTGTGTCGGATGAGTTTGAACGGAGAAGACAGCAGCAGCCAGCCCTCAGAGTCCCCCTCGCTCTCCACGGACCCCCGCACACAGGAGAGATGGTCTTTTTGAGACACCGCAGCTGTCTCATCCTCAGCTATCCGTCACATACATCCAGGAAAAAGGAAGAAAACGCTTCTCATTCTCCCTATTTTCTCTCTGTTCCTGTCATCATATTTTCAGCCACTTTGTATATTTATTTTCTATTTTTAATGCCTTCTTCTTCAATCATGTATCCTCTTAAAGACGTCTTAATTTGTTGTGGTTTGCTGAATCTGTTTTTGTCGGGATAGAGCAGCCTAGATTGACCCTCATCTCGCCCCGTTCTTTTTCCGTTTCCTCTTCTCGAGCAAAACTTCGCCACGTTTTTCTCTCGGCGCGTTGCTGAAATTCTCTGGCGGAGGGAAAAAGACTTTATTTCTTTACCGTTTCAAAGACACAGAATCCTGTAGCTGAGCCCCTGTGAAGGCACGAGGAATATTCGTAACGGCAACTCTGCTCAGTTATTTTACAGTGATTATCAGGAAAATGTTGATGTTTTTAAATTTAATAGGAATCTGGGTAAAAGAGCCACAAGTAGAAGCTGTAACTTCAGATAAGAGGAAGCATTTTTTTTTAAGCCCTCCCAACTCCTCTCTGTCTGAAACCGTACATGAAATGACATTTTTTCAGTGTTTCGCCCCCGTATCTCCTGCGTGAGATGTCATAAACTCCTCCTGGTGTATATATTAAATACAAATGGCATCCCTCTCTCATTTTAGTCCTCTGTTTATGGCAGTCTTCTTTTGATTCACATTTTTATCACTTATTTTGATGTAAATAATTTTAGTCCTACTTAAGGTTTGCAAAGGAAAAAGAAGACATTGAGAATGGCAACACAAATGTGAAATACATGGTGTATGAAAAGTGTATATAATAAATATAAAATGTTTATGATGTATCAATAAATTGACAAAAAATGTTGCTCGCTTAAAGTGCGTTTAATATTGAGAAACATTTTTGAACAGTGCGCTTTACACACAATAAAACTAAAAGAAGGCATTTATGAGCTTTGTTGATCAGAACGATCATTAGTAGCACGATGAGGCTTGTGAATAAATCACTTTCATTTATTGCATGTTGCTTATTTGAAAAAAAACGGTGAAAAAAAAAAATAGCTTCACAAACTCGATTAAAAATGTGCTGAGGTTCTTTGGAGTTATTTAAATAACTAGTAATTGTGCGAAACAGAAATGTGTTCATAATAAAACCGACACGGGGTCTGCTCCTTTTCCAGCCGACTGGGGAAATGTAGGGAAAGCCAGTGGGGACATTATTGATGCTGAATACCTTCACATTCGTAGTGCAAAACAAATGAGCATATTTGCTGATGATAGCAGTGAATCAGCTTGTAACCGATCCATCTTCATCTCAGAATTTGGGCTACGAACTGTTCAAGTGGACAATTGTCTTAGCAAGGATTTATGACAAGAAAAGTCAAAATCATCCAAGTTGTTTGATGTTCAAACTTTGCCGTTTGATTTATGAACCCATCTTGGAGTTTTTACAAACTGTGTTTGCTAGTCTGCAGTTTAATATTAATAGTTATTAGGGCTTATAAGTCTGATGTCCAATTTAAAGATAAGCTTATATCCTATTACCCGGGGTTTAAAACTGACACCTTTTATGTGGATCGTCCCGAATCACCTCACTGCCTGGGTTGCTTCACCTAACAGCCAAGGTGAAGTCATGCTGAATGAGATCCACTTGACAAAACACAGCCTTTATCAGCAAAACTGACAAAGAGATCAGATGTAAGTCTTGACTGGAAAAAGAAATCCAGTTCAGTACATCTAGAACTCAAACTGCTCCCGTTTTAAACCCCGAGTGGCCCCCGTATCAAATCAAATCTTCAAAAGCAATTAATCTCCACATGTAAACACTGGCTGGGCGGGTAAGTAGCGGCCTCTCATAATGTTGCAACATCTCAAGTTAGCAGGATTGTGAGAATAAACCAATGAAAATATGACGACATGAATGTGTGATGAAATTCCATCTTTTCCAGTGCAGTTTTCCTATTTCTTTAGGAAATAACTCAAAAATGAAAACTACCGTGGACCAAATCATTTGCATACACATACAATGTACTCATACTCATATGTGCATGATGTCTGAAGATTTTGTCACAAACAGATTCAGCATATTCTTAAGTTATATTAGCTGACATAAAGAGCGGACCCCCTTTCTTAAGCTGCTGAGTGTGCCGGCATGTAAATGGTGCAGACCCTAATGAAGACGCAACAGTTTGATGCGATTTATAAATGTGTCCGTAATGCTCAGAGTTAGTGCGTCAGTGTTAAATCTCAGTGTGCGTTCCAAGCCGCCGTGAGCAGCGAATGGGCCGGCGTGGTGCAGGGAATGTAACCCACAGCCGGATCCCACACCTCAAACTGAATGGCTGATGATGACCTGAAGTACACACACACACACACACACACACACACACACACACACACAAAAAGCAGGTTAGTATTTACCACTAAACTGCACTAATTAGAACCTATTTCTTCATTAGTACCTGTTGAGAACGATGAGAACCACAGAGCCGTCTGGTCTGACGAAGGCGGAGAACTCGAGCTGTGTCTTTGCACTAGCGGACACGCCCACCCTCTGCGACCCCTCCCACAGGAATGCACTGTATACAAAGACTAAACATAAGGATCTCGCTGTAAAAATCAACAGGGAAAATGCGAGAAACAAAAATCGTCACCTAAAGTGGGCCATGCTGTAGAAAGTTGGCTGTTTGTAAAAGACGTCCCGCTTGGCGTCCACTATGACGGGGCTGTCCACAAAGTTCTTCACCCAGTTTGGCCCACCAGTCTGGTCCAGTGCCAGGTTCCAGTCAGTCCAGCCCACAACGTAGTGATTCAAGTCCTGAAACAGAGGAAACACACTCGTATCGTATGTCTTCTGAAACTTTAGTAGTGAGAAGTGTTTCTTCATGAAGTGAATCTGCTAACTGGCCATTTACAGTGTCTTGTTACTACAAACACACACCGGAGTTTGGAATATAATGTGATGGACCAACACAAAGTACGGGATGCGCCGTAATTGAAATTAAGAATGGTTTTTACAAGTAATAGTGTGATGTGCATTTTGTACGTAGCCCTCTTCACTCTGACATTTCTAAATAAAATCTAATGTAACGGCATCCAGAAGACGAAGGGACATAGCAGATAAGTTAGAGCCAAAGCTAGGTGAGTGGTTCAGTCAAAGTCCAGACCAAAATTCAACTGAGAATATTTGGCAAGTCTTGAAAACTGACGTTTACTACATTTACTCCTTCTAGTTTGACTGAATAGAAGGAAGAGCAGGCACAAAATTTTCCATTTCTAGCTTTGTACAAAAATGCCCAAAGGACTTCCGACTGTTCCTCCAGTAAAAACTGGTGCTGCAGAAATCGAGTACGTAGACGTGCAAATGCTTTTCAGATTAGTCTTTCTAGAATTATTTGAAAACCCACCCATCACTTGCCTTCCACTACACACTTACGCTTTACCTTTTATCCGTTCGTCCCATACAATCCCAGTAAAGCGCATTAAAGTTTTAGCTTGTAACAAGACAAAACGTGACACCGACAGAGAGGCGCGAACAGGATCAAGTTTTTCTTGACTCAGGCTACGTCTAATACCTGAATGAGAACAAAATGAATAGAATGGAAGGACTCCAGTTTAAAGTGAAGTAAGATGACACAGAACACCAGTTCCAGCTTGCTCTGCAGCCCTGCAGGCAGTTTCTGTAGTGTGTGTGTGTGTGTGTGTGTGCAGCAGAGTGTAACATTTAACCTGCCTGCACTGCGGCGTGGAGGGGAAGGGAGACGCGCCTCTCCGGGACGACTCGCGGCATGTCAAATCTGACGTCTGCAACAAGCGGATCTGACTGAACAAGCACCGGCCCCGAGATGAGCTCACCTCTAGGATGTCATGTGCGTACTGCTCCGCGTGGTCCCAGCTGCCCAGCTTCACCCCGCGGTCCACTGAGCTCCAGCCTGCACAGGCCTCCGTGCCAAACAGATAGTACTCTGGGAACAGCTGATGGGTGGCTCCCAGGCTCGCCTCTGCAGGGACGAGAGTGTCCAGGTACCAGTGCACCGCCACGCCGTGGATGTATCGTGCTGCATGAACATCACTGAGAACCTGGAGGGCAAAAAAACCCCCCCCAAAAAAACAGAAGATAATTACTGCAACTAGAGGTTTATTAGTCTGATCATATAATCTGTACTGAATCCGTCTAATTTATGCCACTACTGAGATGACAACTGTGGCATAAATTCGAGAGATTCAGTGAAATCTGTTCATTCGACAGTCTCCAGATGTTGAACTGACTTTTAGTTACCGTTAGTCTCCACCGAAACGAGTGACTTAATGTTCTCACGCACGTTTCTTTCCCTGCTATTCAGCTGAATTGCTCACATTTACTGAAAGCCAACAGATCAGGCGCCGCTTTTCATTTATCACTTGTTTCACTGCGTCAAACATAAATGCAGTAAACAGAACACAAATGTGAAATTCAAACTAATTACATTTCAAAAATTGCAGTAACGTTGTGATTTACTAATGTAAAAAAAAAAAAAAAAAAGACTCATAATTCCTACAAATTCAGCAAAGTATTCTCCTGACATCTGACTTTCCAAATGACAGGATGGGCTCTGAAAGAAAACTTTATTTCAGATTTTGAAGTTTATTCTGCTAGTATTTTTCTTGTTGGTTTCTAATTTAAAACAACTTAAAGTTTCACAGTTCATTTTTTTTTTTTTTTTTGTCGCTTGAAATCTTGGAGATCTTTTTTTCACAATTGTTTTTCCAGATGTTCCTTTTGTTAATGAGGTGGGTTGGACCGACGCCAGAAGCGGGCCCCCAGTTGAATGCTCCTACCCTAAAGCTTCAGTTTAAAGAATCAGAAATTCATAGAAAAAAATAGACATAGCATAAAGTAGTGCAACACATTCAGAGTTTCTAAATAGTCCGAGAAAGTCTGGAATTTGATTTAAAGTCTGGAAGAGTATGAGAAAAGCCAATGAGAATGTGAAAAAATGTGTATTTCCAAACTTTGTTCTCCGTCTTTCTCTACTCCTTTCATAATTTTTATGTTTTTTGGGTTTAATTGTACTGGATATGTCAGATTATCTGTGGAAAAAATATTTAGCAAAACCTGGGACACACCAGGAATATGTAGACTTTTGGGATGAACTAAATTTTAGAGTAAATGTCACACATTTCCATCAGCACTCCGGATGACTTGCATGTGGAAATATAATTTAATTACAACTGCAGATTGCTCATTTTGAATTCACCTTACATGGCACTACCTTCTGCTTTTACTTTCCTTTTTTTTTTCTTTTTTTTCTTTTTTTTTTGAATGTTTGGTCTACTGCTGGCTTCCTAAAATATAACTGTGCTTTCTGATCTCATCTGCCACCATGTGGGTTGAACAAAGCCAGCGACGACCTTCCCCACTGCTCTATCTGTCTGTCTGTCCTTGGACTCACCACTCGGGCCCAGTGGGGCAGCAGCAGGCGGTTGTCATCTAGTATGAGGATGTGTGTGTGTGGGTGTGCTGAGGACTGCAGGGCCGGGCCCAAGTCCAGAGCCACCCAGTCCCTCTGCTCCTCAGGAGTGAAGCCCAGAGCCTGGAAACTGCAGCCGCACAAAGACACTAAATTATGACTTTTAGCATTTTTTTTTTAAGCCACAAAGACGCTGCGTATTGCTCCAAATCAAATCAGGGACCTGTAGTTTGTCATTTCTCCTGCAGAGGGCTCGTTTCCTGTCGTCAGCGCCCAGAAGGTTAGGTTATATTTAGCATATTCCTCAAGGAACCTGCCAGGGAAAGTTAAAACACATCAGAATTTATCTCTCCAGTATCAGGCCTGTCTGGTGTGCGATAATAATTCAAGGTAAAAGACCCAAAAGTCACCTGATGTAGTACTGAGCCCATGTTTTATGCTCCTTTCCCCCCGGCTGGCCCTTCAGGGAGCCCTTTCCTATGAGCGCACCATTAGTTTTCATCCAGGTGGGGGCGCTCCAGGCGCTGCCCAGCAGGGAAAGCGGGCGAGGGGACAAGGCCTGGGCACGCAGCAGCAGAGGAATCTGAAACAAAGAGGAGGAGGATGTTGATGAGGACACATCAGGAGATGGACGCGTTTCTGCTTCAGTGTGAAGACGGAGACCTTCATCTTCACATCCTCGGGGGCCAAAGCGAAGCTCTTCAGGTCGTAGTCCCCGGGTGTGTCAGCGTAGGTGTACAGGCGAGTGGAGAAGTCGCAGCTGGCCATGGGGACGCGCACAACGCTATAGCCGATACCTGGTTCAACAACACAGAGAAACGAAAACGGTCCAGAGTCTTCGGTGATCAGAGCCGGCCCAAGGCACAAGTTAACCAAGCCACCGTCGAGGGACTCCAGACCAGCAGGGGGCCCTCAAGAGCCACGTAATACTTACGTGCCGTTTGTTGTTCATACCATATTTTGACAAGAATATGCTAGGTTTAATTTTAAATTTGCTCAACTGTTTAATTTGTTGTAAAAGAAAAAAAAATCTTATTTAAAAGAATATAACATTTAAACTAAAATACATATTTTTTTTGATACATTACACAGTTATCGAGTACTACATGATTTCAGTTTTTTGTGGCTGAACTTTAGTACAATTTTTTTGCACAATAAATTTAGTACAATTTATTTATTTATTTATTTTCAGTGCTTTTTATTTAATGAACCACATAAACTGATGGCTCTAAAGTAGTCAATTTAGAGTATTACAAAAAATTACAAAACATACTCTGGCTCATGGTCTTATCTGAAAAGTGGGCTCTAATTCTGCCCAGGTGGCCCTCGAGCGCTGGCGCGGGCCCCGCAGCTGGTGCAGATGTCACAGAGCTTTAAACATCTGCAGGTGTGAAGAATCTGATGATGCTCTCCTCCAAACCGTGACGGCACCGCTGCTCCCTGAATAAATTAAGGTTCCATCGACACGCCTGACTCACTTTACTAGAAATCTTTCATCTCTGCACTGTGAATAAAAACTTCAATAGGATTATGAGCATTGTACTTTGCGGTCCTTTAATCTCTTTTCTGGTACTGTGCTGGTGACATGACAAGATACGATTCTCAAAGATGAAACGATAAAGATCTGCCTGCTGCTGCTGTTGCTGCTGCTGCTGCGATAAGCTACTTCTGCAAAAGCTGATGATCTTATGGTGTTTTGCAAATAAAAACCTCACTGACATTTACAAAGAATGGCTTGTAAAAAAAAATATATAAAAAAAAAAAAGAGGAAAAAAACATTGACGCACATTAAGTTGTGGGGTTCTCAGCGAAACAGCATGCCTTGTAATACTAACAAATTTAATGGAGAAGATCAAATTGTTTTCTCCCTTCAGCCGAAAACAAACAAAAAAAAAACATCTTTAAAATAATAGTAAACAGATCATGTCTGCAGCAATCTTAAGACTTTTCTAAAGACACAATTAAGAGAACACTTTCACTGCTTCTGTTTTTCGTTGCCGTCACCAGAGAACAATCTAACCGAGGAGGGAATGAGGTCGCATTTAAACTGAATTTAAAAAAAAAGAAAAAAAGAAATAGCATTTTCCTGTTATTCATTTATTTTCCTAGACTCAGCAATCTGAACCACCATCTCAAAACTCTAAATCATTTTAGAGCAGCTTGCTGCGGTAAAAGAATTAAAGTGACTTGGACGGTCATCAGATCTGAATCTGATAAAACCCCCAACAGGATTTGCAGCACGATGAAAATTGAGATTGAGGTTTCTGCCAAAATTACTAAATCTACATTATAAAGATTTTTTGTTTGTTTTTTTTTTTTTTTTTTTTGAGGGGGGGAGCAGAAAAGATGTAATCCTGGATGGGGGTAAGTTTATGTCATGCGGTGGTGTGTTACAGTTTTATGCTTTTATGTCCACATTCAGTACCACTCCATATACTTGGCTTCAAAGTGGCCAGATGTTTCTGGGTGGCCACATGACATCATTATGATTTTACATCCCATTTTATATTCCAAACCAAGTTTTGAAGAGAGGCTCGGATCACTTTTGCTGCTGTGTTTCATTGATCTGCTCCAGTAACGACGCCTAAAATCTTGACTGAAGTTTGAATATTGTCAGATCAAATGTCTTCTGGGGAGATGTTTAATAGTCAAACAGCACAAAGATGGAGCTGTTTGACCACATTGGTAGCAGAAATGTTTGGAAGAGTTGCAACTATTGTTTCAAATCTAAAAAAAAAACACATGGATTTCCAAAATGTGGCGTGGGGACCATTTTGTGGCTCTTTGGATGATTTTCTGAGGCCCCAGAGTGCAATTCAAAATCTACTGCAAATAAATTATCGCAGATAAAAGAAACGACAACAAAAAAAAAAAAGAAAATCTACTTTTTCAGCCTTTTTCAACTTGACTACTCTGGTAATTACTGACCACGTGTTTGGCTTTCATTGTAATTTCATAAGTATAAAATTACAAACTTTAAGAATTATTATTATTTCTTTTCTCTAAAAAAAAAAAAAATCTAAATTACGGCACCGGATTCTTTCAGGTAAACAATTCTGGCCTGTGTTGCAAAACGTCTTACATCACTGAGATAGATGATTGGACACAGTTTGGTGTCCCAGCAGGACATTGATCACAAATACACACCAGCACTGATTTATGTTAAAAAGAAAAAAAAAAAACAGTCACAAACTGGAATAAAAACACTAAAAATCCAAAGGAAAATACTGAAAGACTGTTTGAAAATCAAGATTACAAGAAAGTCTGGTTCCTGCTGCTGTCAAATATAGCAAGACAATAAGGCTTTCATTTTTCACTACAGGATGAAGTGCATCGGCTCTTATGTTTAATATTTTTACAGGTAGTGCTTCATCTAAAACAATCACTTGCTGTGTTGGATTTGGTTGCTGTTTGTTACATTAAAACAACAACGCAGTTCATTTTGGTTTATTTTTATACTCTAGCTCCCAACTAATGTCTTCTCAAGACGCTTCAGACGATCCAATTCATACTCATAAATCAGCCCACCATCTAAACAGATTATAGGCAAATTGCATTCTCTAATAAAACCATGCAAGTCACACACTGACCAATCCCTCCTCCAAAACAAGCGAGTGGCCACAGTGGAAAGGAACAACTCCTTTTCACAAGGCAATCTGTGCTTTTATTTTTACACAAACAGAATATTAACTTTTCCATGATAAACAACATGGCAAAGCATTGTCTTTTTTCTTCCTCGAGCTTGGTTTGTATCTATGACATTATAAGTTGCTTTGAAACATCTAACCAGAATAACCATTTTAATGCCATTTTATGACTTAAAGTTGCACTGTTCCACATAAACTCAGCCACTTTATAATCTTCATAAAGTTTATAATCTTTACCTTCTTTGGAGAAGTACTGTCGCAGCAGCTGCTCCTGTGCGCCAGCAGAGAGAGAAAGTATGTTAATAGCCGCTGCGTCCGTCATGGCTCCTCCGAACCCCTTGATCCTCTGATACTTCTGGTAGGGAACAATCGTCAGCCTGAGACCTGGAAGAAGGAAGCTCATTAAGGAAAAGCAATGATGTCCCAACATCCCAGAGCTCATCCTCTTTACCTGCTCCAGTGCTGTTGACCCGGACTTGACCCTGGCCTGGCTCCATCCTGCTGCCTGCCATGCTGCTCAGGTAGGTGGAGTACTGACCCAGAGGTGGCAGGCTGACCGGGCCAACACCGTCACAGTAGGTGGAATTACACTCACACACCACAGAGTCATGGCCGAAGTTCCTGGCAACACATCTATTGATTCCTATGAGAGGACAAACATCAGTACTGCACACAAAAACAATAGGAGGGAATATTTGTGTCTTTGGTTTTGGCGTTACCTGCGCAAAGAGTCACATCTGCCGCGCTGACAACAAGAGCTACGACAAGAACTGATGGCAACAGCGGCACCATTTTACCTGGAGGCGAATACAATAATAAGGATCTGAAACTTTAGCAACATAACTTGAGCTCACTCAGCTCAAAAAAACAAAAACAAACACCTCACAGTCCTGTAGTTCAGATCTATTTGTAAACGATCAAATCACCTCAAGGAGAAGCTGGAAGAAACTCTGACCTGTGCTGAAGGTGAAACTCAGGTGACAACACTCCTCCGCCAATCTGTTGTGCCATTACGGAACTTCCTGATCAGTTTCTGATCACCGTTTGGCTCTGGTCACGTGAATTTTAAAGCGATCACGTGAACAGCGTCGCAGTAATTGGTGCCTACAGCCAGAGGGCGCTCTACCGTCAAAGCGGAGATTTAGGGAGTAAAACAGAGAACGTGTTGTTTTCAGAGCTGATGAATAGCAATGAAATGTATCTGCCATTGTTCCTTAAATTGAACGCAGTCCATTTCGGAAAAGTATAATCAGAGGAGAAAATACTTTGAAAGTGGCAAAAACACTACAAAACAAATAAAGCAGGTTGGGCAGAGTAAGATGGACTGAGGTAGAAGCAATCACAATTGAACACAGTTCATAAAAACGGACAATACTGGTAAAAGAGCATATTTGTGAATAGATGAGAATTAAATAAATAGAATATCCACATTTCATCCATCCACTGGAGAATATTTATCGAAGATTGTTGCAGCGCAAATGTGAGGGAGGGAAATCCAGACATTCCTCTTGCCTGAGACACCATCCTGCTCATTCTGGGGGATTTCAAGGGGTTCCCAGAACAGAAGGTCCTGTCTGGGAAACACGTCTGTCTGAGACTGCTTTCCTGCTGCAGGACCTGGACGACTTCACTTCATTGATGGAATCATGAACTCTGCTCTCTAGCCGAACATCTTGAAAAACAATATCTGGCCATCAGTTTGCAGCTTGAGTTCAGGAGGACTTCGGTTATGCAGCTGCGCCATCATCTGCAGCACAACAGCACATCTTTTATCTCACGCAATAAAAAAAAAAAAGGCTTTCAGAGTGGCTTCGGGGAAAGGCTGGACCTAAACCTGCTTAAATGTTTCAGGATGGTGGTTCATGTTCAAAATCCTACAATGTGAATAGAATAATCATAAAATAAGGGTGGGTCAAAGTTTATCCACAGTTGTTGCTGCCAAGCTATTAGGCATAGGGGGCAATTACCCTTCACTTATTAGAGCCAAGTTTCTCTGGATAACCGATCTTGAAAACTTTATATTATACATTTACTGATGTCATCTTTTAAAAAAATTCTTTGATCTGTAACACACAAGTGTAATAAGAGTGTAAAAACAAGAAATTCATAAGGGGACAAATGCTTTTTGATGACTGTGTTTTTTTTTTGCATGTAGCAATGAAATCCCAAAAAAAACAAAGCTTAACCAGGAAAATAATTTAACATTCAAATATTTATTTTCCAGCAGTGTTAAACATGGATGATGTAACTTTGTGTCAAACAAGACCATGACCCAAGTTCTTCCACGCTTTGCTCCATTTTCAACTTGTAAAATTGTTTGCTAGGATAGTTAATGGTATTCTTAAAGATAAAAAACAAACAAACAGTTGTTCTTATTAATGTTTTATTATGAAAGCAACAAAGTAGTATAATTTACAGCATGATACACACCACAGAGATATACGTTTGCATGTTTCCGATGCAGTGGCATTGTTGTGACGAAACGTTTCTGTGACTTCGTCACAAGTGGCCGCAAAGTCTTTCGAACATGGATGGATTCATGTTACACAAAAAGATGAGTTCTTTCTTCCCTTCTTCTGTTCGGCCTGATGGTTAAAGCAGACATGGTCAGAAAACTTTAGTTGCGTTTCATTTTTTAAAAATCACACAACCGCAGAGTGACAGGATCATAACTCACTCTGTGGGTGCTGCAGCCAGTTCCGGTCCATGTAGTAAAGGTAACAGCTCTCAAACTCCTTCTCGCTGTAGTTGGGCACCGAGACGGGGATGAACGGATCCATGTTGTCAAAGCCTCTCTATGAGGACGACACAGGCAGGAAGTTAAAGAAATCGGTTGTGTACACATTTAAAGCCGTAGTTTTAATTATTATCCTGAAGTATGCACCAATTCAGTCCAATTTTTTCAATAAATTCACATGTAAAAAGTAAAGTCAGAAACTGACGACTGCTTCAGGCACTTCAGGAGAGAAGAGGAACGAAGTGAATGATAAATGTATTCAAATATGCATTAATGTGATGGGGGGGGGAAATAAAAAAAGCTAAAGTCAAGCCCACACAGTCAAGGGTGAAGTAAATAATAAATATTATATTCATATCATGCTAATGTTTTCCATTAGGTGGGTTACGTGATCGCACTTTAAATCTTATAATTTATGCCTCTCGGCGGAAGAAGAGGGATTTATCAGTCCTCGGATGAACTGACTTCCTGGTGTGCAGTCGCGCAACAAATATACTAGTAATTAGTTCAAAACGACTTAATGAAGTCACATGCTAAAGTGCTGCAGTGTCGAAAAGACTAATGCGAGTCATTATTTGCTTTACTCTCCATTTTCACTGGAAAAACAACACCTCTGTGCTGTACTACAAGAAAATAAAAAGCCATTTTCTTTACAAAAACAGCAACTTAAACAGTTCAATGGGCAGTTTCCTGCCAAACAGTCAGAATATGATCCTCTGAGGATAAATGTAATATTAAGAGAAGTACACTGTAACAGACATATATCTGCATAGGGGTTGTTTAAAACTGAGAACAGTCTAGAGACAATCTTTAATAAGCATAAATCTTTACATCCCAACCAGGGGAACTCAACAAACTTTAATGTACTCCTGGGAGGTTTTATGTGATAAATGCACACAACGCAATTATAGTTATAGGCTGCAGAAGAGTGCAAACTGAGGCAGATGTTCCCATTTCAGGAGGGCAACAACCATAAACATGCAGCCTGAGCTACGCTGGCAAACCTTGACTCAAAGCATATTCATGTTTTAAAACGTTCAGAGTTAAATCGGATCTAGAATCTTTGTCAAGACTTCAAGCTCCAAGATGCTCTCCATCCAGTCTAACAGAACTTAAACTTTTTTTTTTTTTTGCAAAGAATCAACAAAAATGTCAGTGTTTAGATAAACATAGTACACTCGACTTGCAGTTGTAACAGTAGCAAAAGATGCTTGTGTGTAAGGCGTTGGCTGGAAGGGAATGAATGTATGGCACACTTTTCGAATTTCTGCAAGCAAAAACTTTTAGAAACAATTTCTCAATTTTCGTACGCTTCAGTGAGGCTCTACGTTGGCTGGCCTAGCACATGAAAACTCAAAGCATATTTAAAAAAATGTGGAAAGAGTCACGGGTTATGACTACGGCAAGGCAGTAAATTTAACTAAACACTCAACAACTCTGGGTGTTCTTAAAACGGCTCAAGATATAAAACTGAGACGACCCTAAGAATCATTTTATCTTTTAAAGACCCCATATAGATGAGGTTCGTCACTAATCGAAGTGATTTCTTTGATGCTACGGTTGCTGCGTCTTTACCCACTTAGATGTCTTTTTTTGATGTACATTAGCCTAAACTGAGCAGCAGAGCTGAATCATCTGCGGCTCTCTGAGGAGCAGCTGATCAAACATCAAGATGAAACAGAATATTCTCTTACCTCTCCGAGAAGATCTTGAGGCAAGTAGGCGGATTTTGGATGGTAGAGAGAGCCCGTCTGAGACAGCGTGGTAATGACGGCGCCGCCGCTCTGAGACAAGACGGTAAATGTCAACAACAGGTTTCTGAAACGGCATTTTGAGGCTTTAGCTGTTGCGTCCCTCCTCACCCAGTCGTTCTTCATCAGCTTTCTCAGGTTATAAACCAAAGTGAGCTCCTCTGGATCCACCTGAGGAAAATTAGAAGGACACCTAAGACTTCCTGTTTGTGGAAAGAGAAAGGAAAAAAAAAAAAAAAAACAGAGGACGCAGCATGATGGACGAGTTTTGTCTTACGGCGGTCTTATCCCCCTTCTTGATGGTGGATCTTCCCCACAGGGCGTTCACGCCGTCCACAGCCACGGCCAGGCGGAAGTCCGCTCCCGGTTGGTCGCTTTGCAGCCTGAGCTCCTTCATCACCGCTCCCACCACGTCGCTGCTGCTCTTTATTCGCGATATGCCCTACAGCAAAGCAAGTAGGCTCAGATGAAAAATGCGATGTTGTGAAAAGGCAGAAAAATATTAAAAACACCACATTATGGTAAAGAGCAGACGGATTTGGGGGGGGGATTTTATACACAATGCATTCCATTTTAAGCCTCAAGTTTTTATCAGATAAAAGGAAAACAAACAAACAAAAAAAAAAAACAGGAAGTATTTGACAGATTAATAGAAAATCAAATCAAATCAGCAGAGGGATGCTTATCAGTATTTCCTCTAATCATGTTAGCATCCTGCACAGTGCCCTCCAGAAACATCAACACCGACAAGTCGGACTCTGATGGATGCAATAAATCTCCCTAAGCTGAAACGTGACAGACAAAAAGTGAGGGGTTTGCAGCTGCACATAAATCCTCGGCTCCTTTCTGTCCTCATCAATGCGGGTGGTACAACAACATTGTGCTGATGCATCACCCTGCTCGGCTCATTGGCTATCGATCACCGGTGGAGGTGGAGAGATGAAACTTTAAAGACTCCTGAAGGAGAGTTAACTCAAGTGGAAATAAAGCAGAGATCATGAGAGAGAGAGAGAGGATGCGCTGTTAATGAAAAACACTGGAATTAGAGGAGGATAAAGGACTGACCTGATCCACCAGCTCTCCGAGTGAACTTCCCGCCTCGGTGGACTCCCTCTTCGTCCACACGTACCGCTCCTTTAGTTTTATCTGAGAACAAAAAAAGTTGCAAACATACGATTTTTTTTTTTTTTTTCACATCAACTTTGAGATGTAAATGTCTCTCGTTATCAAGACTAAAGACCCTCTGCGGAAATCTCTGCAGCACATTCTGAAAGCCCAGCTCAAAACTATTGGTACCTCTTAGGATTAATCAGATTTTCATTTTACAAACGGGAATCTTGACACATTTTCGGGGGGGATTTTACTAATAGACCAACACAGAGCAGCAAATAATATAACCGCTTTGTTCCATGATGCTGATCGGTCACTTATGTCCCCTAAAAAACCTCTGAGGCCTTCTCAGAACATCTGCATTTGCTGAAGTTAAATTATACACTCACAGAGGAATTGATGGTAATGGGCTAATCATAAATAATCATAAAATATTTATACATATTTAGGAACACTGA